TGATCCTTTTGTCTCTCTGCCTATAAACTGTGTTCTGTGTGCTTCTCTCTCACTGCACCTGACAAAGGAGCTGCGCTCTGAAAGTTTGTGATTTCAAATAAACCTGTTGGACTATAATCTGGTGTCGTGTGATTTCTAACCGTGTCCACCCCAGTCCAACACTGGCACCTCTACATCACAGCTGCTGAACGTCATTCCACAAAGGAATCATTTCATCAGTCTGTGTTCCTGTGAGGAAATTGCACCAGTTGGGGGTGTGAAATTGGGAATTTTGGTACATCCTTGAATGGGTGGAAAATCGTCTGGCCTGCACGCCCAAGTTTCAAACGTGCTCAGGATGGGGTGTAGCTCAGTACAAATTGGTAACGCAAAAAAAGTTCTGAAAGTTGGATTCAGAGAGAATATTTCTTCTTTTGGGGGTAAAAGAGCGTCACTAAGGACCATTATCATCATGACAGCCACCAAAAACACATTTTCATCTGCAGAGTGGTGAGAATGAACTCCCTTTCTTAGGAAGTGGTTGAAGTGTTGTGTGTTGGTGGGGTTGGTTAGCTCAGATGGCTGGACGATGGGTTTGTAAAGCACTGTGATAGTAACCGTGTATGTTCGATTCCCACACCAGCTGAGGTTGCCATGTTGGTTCTCCCTTCTAGATCTCACCCCTTTCCCTGAAGTGTGGTGATCCTCAGGGACGATGACAAGCTTACGTTTATTGATGCGTCAAGGTGATGCTGCGTAACTGTATGAGGGAGAAACGAATGGCAGGTTCTGATAATCAAAGAAAGGTAGCAGATAAACGCTGATAGGATCTGGTAGGGCTGAATGGTCTGTTTCTGCACTATGTTACGACTTTAATACCATCTGCCTGGGTGAATGCAGCTCCTGCAACATTCAGGCCACAGCAGCCCGCATGACTGGCACCCTGTCCATAAGCATCCACTCCCTCCACCATGGACACTCAGTTGCAGCAGTGTGTATTATCTACAAGATGCAATGCAGAAATTCACCACCAATCCTCAGACAGCACCTTCCAAACCCATGACCACTTCCATCTAGAAGGACAAGGGCAGCAGACTTAAGGGAACACCACTACCTTCAAGTTCCCCTCCGAGCCACTCACCATACTGACTTGGAAATATATCACCGTTCCTTCACTGTCGCTGGGTCAACATCCTGGAATTCCCTCCCTAAGGGCATTGTGGGTCAATCCACAGCGGGTGGGTTCAAGAAAGCAGCTCACTACCTCCTTGTCAAGGGCAATTTAAGGACAGGCAATAAATGCTGGCCAGCCAGCGAGGCCCACATCCTATAAATGAATTTTAAAAATTAGCAAGAAGTCATGAAATCCATCTCCTCCTTTCTGATGCCAGTTACAATGGAAAAGAGTAGTGAATAGATGGGTAGTGAATGTCACCTAGAAATTTACTTTTGCAGTATTAGCAGGCTCACATAACAAGCATATTCAACACTTCTCTATTTGCTGTTTGAATTCGCGTGTTTAAAACTCTTCAATATTAACGAATTAGTGCCTTCACTGAAATTGCAAATAATGTCAACTGAATGTGTTAAGCATGTAATGGTTTATATTGACAACAACAACATCCCTGACATAGAATTGAAGGGGTTAATTTTAATGTAGCCTTCTTGCCAGGAAATTGACTGGATTCGATTTAACATCTCGTCTGATTTTACATTGCAATGCCTCCAATAAAAGCTAAAATCAATCAGGGTGCAATATAGGTGGGAGAGCCAACCGGTCCAGTAGGTTTTTCAGAGTCTACTGGGTGAAATGAGATCCTTGTAGAATATAACGGCACAGAAGGAGGCCATTCTGCCCATTGTTCCTGTTATCCTTTCCCATTGCTTTTATAATGTTTCCTTTTCCAATACTTATCTGCTTCTCTGTAAAAAAAAAAGCAATTCTGCTTCTGCCACTGTTTTCAGAATGTGCTGATCTGCATTAAAACTAAAAACATCCTACCTGCTCCCTTTTTGGCAATGACTATAACTTGCTTGAACATGTGGTCATCAGGCCACAGCTTGCAATGGGTAGAATGTAAATGTTTGTTTCTTCTGGTCGGGGTTGGCACACCCATCGGAAACTCTTTTATTGAGGGACTTACCTACCATTTTACCTGCTGGTAAAAGCAAAAACCATCCTCGGACTGTTTCAGCGCGTTTAATGGTTATTGTGTTGATGACAGATTTCACTAATGTGCAAGCGTGGTTCTAAGTGTGGTCCCCACCCACTGTTCCACAATCACAGTCAAGCCCGTGGTGGTGGAGGCACAAAGTGGGAGTGAGGTGCTTTCACTAAAGGAGGGGAACACAGCGGGTGGGTTACTTTCTGTGTAATTATCTGCTGAGCAGCATTGGAGAGACTGGAGGGTGAGTTAACTATCTGTATTCTCAGCAAGGAAATGGTTTGTGGTGCGAGTGTGAAAAATGCAAATTGGACTTGGAAACAAAAGACCTTCAAATTTGTTCAATTCTGATGATGACACTTATCAGCATAGGGCCGTTCGCTTCAAGTTAGTTTAGAATGAGCTGAAGGGGTAGCTTCCTGTAATAATAATCATGCTTCCTATTACATCTTTTTGCCAGTATACTTTATCCCACAAGTTGTAGTTGTACTGTGGTACAAACAAACAGGCTTTGTTTAGCTCCTTTGATCTATTTCCTTATTGCTGCTGTTTTTGTTGGAATTGGAACTTTTCTTCTCTGCTCAAGCATGAGATGTTTCTTTATTGTGGAGCCAGAAGTCTGCAGAAGAAGGTCAGTCCACCAGCAGTGTGAGAAACCCCACTGCACCTTTACTTCACAACAGAGATCTAAAGCCAGGTCAGAACCACAAGTAACAGCTTCGTGTTTGGTGCAAGTCCCACAGCAGTTTTTGGACTATGTTGGTGCAGGATGCATTAGGCCTATATATAATTGCAACATAGCTGACCTCCTATGATTCAAAGCCTAGGAGATAATGAAGTCCGTACCTCAGTACAAATGAACACTCGTTATGTCTAAATGAGAGAAGGAAGCCTATACTTTGACTGCGAAGTGATAGGGCACCAACTCTAATCTGTTTCAAAAGCAGGCCTGTGAAAAACGACCAATGTGGAAGTACTTTCTTTTAAAATCAAGACTAGGCGTTTAACAGGAAGAGAATGTTAGGAGCCCTGTTGAAGAATGCTTTTTAATTTAGACTGTGCTGAAGGAAATAATGTGGGTTTCTCTTCCGCACCTTTAATTCAGCTCAGTAATGTGTCCAACATGACTACTGACCTGTACAAGTGAGTTTTTCATTTAGCAGAATTCAAGCGTTATGCAGCCAAACAATCTTAACCGTGCAGATCTGTCAATTAAAGCTGCTCCATATCATCATTAATCGGGCTACCTGTTGGATTTATTTTTTAAAAAGGTGTTGTTCATGATGAAAGAGGACTTAGAGCTGAGATCTTATAATTTTCTATTTCCAAATAAAGGAGGTATAAGGTGGAGTAATTTGGCAGTCGGTAAGAGTGAATTGTTGGGCAGATTATGATTGCCATTGATAAGGGATTCTCTGTCAGTTGCCAGCTCCATCTTGGATGCATGCTTATTGACACTGCAAATGTTAAGTGGGTGTAAAAGGCCAAGTATAAAAGGTGCAAGTTAAACAGCATAGAGATAAAACAAAAGAAGTTCAGATGCCGAAGAGCTGAAACAAAAACAAATTGTCAGTGACCCTTTTTCAGAACTGTTCTGGACCAGGGTCGCCGGACTCAAAACATTAATTCTGCTTTCTCTCCACAGATACTGCCACACCTGCTGAGTTTCTCCAACAATTTATGTTTTTTGGTTTAGAAATGCCTGAGCTCTTTCTGTCGGGAGTTTGAGCCTGCATGCCTGAACTGAAAGTTCAATTTGGAATTAAAGGGAAGTTACAATCTGAGGTCCAGAAAAGGAGGCAGAGATTTGGGGGTGTCTGCAGAAGCTTTTTTTTTTAAAGAGGAAGGAACAATAAAATAAGAAATCAAAGCCACCGAACTTTTGGTTAATAACATTCTTTTTAGATGTGTAACTCAATTGAAAACTTACAGAATGAACAAAGGTTTTGGGTTTTTGTTGCATGTTAGATAAATCCAGAACATTTTTCTCAAAAACTGGTGAACTATTGCAAGATCAAATAGCTTTGCACACAGTTTGGGCCAATTTCTTTGTGGTTACTTTGCAAATATTGGTATGGTGTTCATTTTCGGGGCAGTGATGGCTATCCTCAAATGAGGAATCTGCTGAAGTGGTGGGACTGAAATCGTATCATCTCTCGTAGATCATTACAAATTATTTTTGCCCTTAAGTTAGGCTTTGTGGTTTTTTAATAGTTTCCAAGAGGTAATAAGGGAGTATTGGATTAACATTGTTTTTGTTAATTTATTCTGTATTTGGGCAGTTCTTTCTTAAACATTTGAAGTGAAGTTATTGTAGTATAGAGTCCATTGTATTGTATTACAATTAGCAAAGGAGTTTTTTTTAAAATGCCCATTTAGTAGGGGCAATAATATCAATACCTTTCAACTGATCACATCAATTGCATGTTGGCACGCGATTATAGAATATGGTTCAAAATGTGCAAGTTGTTTAAGATAGGATACACGAGATAGAAACATATATAGTGCAATAGACTTTCAATTCTTGTTTCATTTCAGTACCTTTTTGGAGTTCAAATATCAAGCTAAAATTCGCTTGTTTTGGTGGAGTTTGGTTAAAGTGTAAGTAATAATGAAAAATCTTTAGGAAGCTAAAGATAATCCATCATTTTGGGATCTAATCTGGGTTGACTTTTTCACATGGTATCTATCGAGACCGATGAATGTGGGTGGGGATAATGACCTGTTTGCAGTGGGCAGTGCCAATTTGAGCCCTGACCGAAAAGACAGGCGGTTGATGTTGGTAATTCTTATGCTTGGGCAATGTTGCTAAAGAATAACTCAGATCTTTGACTTTTTTTTGTGTGTGTGTGATAGAACCGGGGACGCTTGGCTGAAAAGAGGACAATCCCTTTGCCGCCAACAAGAGTACCTAAGAAAGAACTGACCTCGGCTTTTACAAATAGTGAAGATAGTAAAGAGAGCGAGAAAGCAAATGGTGACCGCCCTCCTGAGGTAAAACAGGAAGAGGAAATTCAGGCTAGCACAATGAAAAGAAGGTAACAGTTTATTAAGCATTTAATCTATGTTGGAAGATAGATTTGTGAGGTTATTGTACAAAGACTATGCACAGTGCACTGTACAATGCATTGTCTGTATGATTAGAAAACCATGGTGTTTACCTTTCCTACTGCATCAGGGCAGTGGCATTGACACAGTTCTATCTGTTACAATGCCAATTTTGCCACGTTTGGCTACAGTCATAGAGTTTGCAGACCATCCTACTACAGCAGCAGTGCTGCACAATGATTGAGATCCAATTTATTCGGTCATGAAACACCCCAGAAAGAAAGGGGTAGAAAAGTTTACTTGGTCCACCGGCCAGTGAGCTTTCACTTAGGACTGAAAGAGAACTGAAAGAGACTGTAAATTCTAGTGCCGCTGTTTTGACTCTCTGAAGGTGGGATAAACAGTACTGTTCCTGCCATGTGCTCCAAAATCATGCATTGCAACCCTCTAACTTTTCCAAAATTTTGTAAAATGTGCTCATGGTGTGGATCAGAGTGATGGCACAGAGTTTCCTTAGCCTCCCTTTCTCCCCTACTATCACCCATACCTTTTTTAATTACCTTTCTGGGTGTGGTTTTTAGTGCAAATATTTACCCACTTCCCCTTTTTCAAAAAAAAATGGAAGCTATTGTTGACTCAGTTCACACCACAGGTTTTGGAAGGACTTCCCACAACCCTCCGTTTTTCTTTTTAAAAAATTCTCTCTTAACCTCATTTTAATTGTGAAAGTACTCGGCAGACCTTCAGGTGGAGTTGGGAGTAAATCTGTGCAGATCTGATTCAACATCTTGCCGAACGGGACTTTCAGAGAAAGTCTCCCCTTTGTGATGGTGGCCCCCATCGTCCCCCACACTTCCTGTGGGTGAAACGGGAAGCAAAAAATATGTGTTTCTAAAACGACTGCCGCTGCTGTAGTGCGATTCGTTACTGGCAGGTTTTCAGCAGTGGCCTGTGGTGGCATGTCCTTCTGTCAATTCCTCACGGTTGTTTCCGCTTTCCCTCCCCGGAGAGAGGTTGCCTTATCTTTTTTGTCATCGCTTGCTGCTTCTTCCAGATGGCAGAGCCCGAGATGACAAGCTGATGGGTTTTTTCTGTGGGGGGATGGGGGTGTTGGGTTAATTTCCTGTGGTTGCTCACCAGTTCATACATCTTTTTTTTTGTTGGTGCACTGTTTCGCACATTACTCTAGCTCTGTCTAAATAGGTTAATGTGGAAAGAAACGTCGTGTGAATATAAAAGAGTATAATCATTTTCATAGCAACAGGGAAAGGAACAGTGCACTTCCTACTCTGGGAGTGAGGAGAGAAAACATTTGGCAGTGATTCCTGGTAGGCAGCACGGACTTGAATATTATAAAGATGGATTTAAGCAAAGCCAAAGAATTCTTGTGGTAAGTCATTCGGCAGGCAGCATTTTAGCACATTAACCTTTTTAGACAACGTTGTACTAATGCTTCATGCAACTTGTGCTGTAGACCTCTATGACTTAATGTGAACGTGTCAACAGGCATACTCCTTGAGGAGGTCAAAACCCACTGTGTTCATAATTGTGGGCAGGGATTTCATATCCCATTGCTCTGTGACAAGGTCTACTGAAGCAAGGTTGCAGTGTGACAAAGTACAACCTTAAACTGCCTCTTATTTCTCCATTTCACTAATGGTTTTGAAAGAGTTAATTCTGTTTCTCTCAATCATTGTGTTTCCTCATGTTGCACTCTATGTCACACAGAGTAACATGCAGCGTGCTGCTCAGAAACAGGCCAACTGACCCCATACATCTGCTCCAAGTCTTCATTACCCTGCCCTATCAGCATATTCTTGTAGGAACTGTCTCTTCCTCCAACTCTAGCCTTTAGTGTGTCTTCACATTACCCACCATTGACAGCCATGTTTTAATTGCCATGGTATCACTTACCAGAGTTCTATTCCCAACCCCTCTGTTGGACCCCTCCATAAGGAATGTTGGGTATTCTGAATTTTCTCATGGGTTGTTCTGTTAAATTTTTACGTGTGTGCAGTTGTTTGGAGGCATTTGTCTATCTTAAAAGGTTGAATATAAATGTACATTGTCACATGCATAAACTTGTATCTCACTTGGAGCAAGACTGAATATAATTACATTCATTTCAATAATATAACAAAACAAACTTGGTGGGCATTGGTCCACAGTATGATGACTTTTGACCCAGAACTATACAATAAGGAAAAGTTATATGTTCTTTAAATGTTTGTTGAATCTGTAATTGTTTTAAAATAGTGTTTAGAAAGAACCTTTAAAAATGTGGATCGATTCTAAAGGGATTAATTACTTTCTTGGATTACAAGAAATACTGGTCCATATGAGGTGGTGGCCTTTGACCTGGAGGCAGTACCAACAGGAAGGAAGAAGCTACAAACCAGGTTGATATAAAGTTGAGCCACAAGCAGAGGAGTTGGAGGGTGAGGTTGATCAGCACACATGGAGAAAGTAGTCATAGACAATAAGAGGGATATCATAAGTTTTTGCAAGGAATCAAAGCATATCACTGTTAGTAGGAGGAGGAGGAGGACAGTTTTTGTGTGGCAGAGGAGGAGACAGGAGCTCCTGAAGGTAATGTGTGAGCTGACTAAAAAATGTATAAGTTGGAAAGCTGAGTGACTGGCTCAGAAATGCTACAGAGCAGGGAGAAACTGATTTCTCAGTTTTCTGACAAAGGCCAAATCGTGCGCTAGTTTGATTGGCTGGTGGAAAAAGGCAATCCAGAAAGCTGTGCCATCAGGACAGTTGTAACCTGAAGCAGTAAGGCTTTGTAGAAATCCACCTTGCTCATGATAGTCAGCCCCATGAAACACAAAGATGTAATAGGCAACGACATATTGTGGAAATGTGTAGCTATGACGTGCCACATTTACACAGCGAATGATGCAAATACTTGGGTTGCACAAAATGCATCTTTGTTATATTGACTGTTTAAGATGAAATTTACCTTTTCATTTGAAATATCAGCTACTTCCTGGTTAATTTGTATTGTTTCTGATTTTCATGTCAATGCATAACCCACAAAAAGCAGAATCATGTTGATAATGGCCACCAAATGAAGACAAAATTAAGTAAATTTGGTTAACATGGTGTAGACTGGATGAACACAGCAGGCCAATCCTGCTCCTCTGGTGCTGCTTGGCCTGCTGTGTTCATCCAGCTCTACACCGTGTTATCTCAGATTCTCCAGCATCGGCAGTTCCTACTATCCAAGTGAATTTGATTATTTTGGTTTACAGTTTCCCCGGGGGGTTGGTAAAAACAGAAATGCATGAAATGCCTAAATTAATAAAGTAACATAAATCATTCGGGCAAGTGCTCGGTCTGCAAACCAGAGGCTGACAACTTGCAGTAGCTCTGTCAACATACCCACAGGAGATCAGGAAGATCCTGCATTTGATGGGCAATCTCTGTCAATTTGTCTAAGAATGCCGGGGGTGATAGGAAAGGCGCTACAGGAAGGGAGAGAATTCAACCTTCTGATCAACGGAAAGAAAAATAGCAAATGGTGGAAATATTCGGCATCTCAAGTTGCACCTGGAGATATGGAAGCAGAATAAATGCTCAAAGTTAAATCACCTTTCGCCAGAACTCCATTGTTGGAAAGGGTGCACTCTGGAGTTGGCTCAGCTATGGACCCTCTGTACTTTATGGTCATTATAATGGTCACATCAACAACGATCATGTAGGTGAACTACTTAGAATTACAGAACTGTTGCAATGCAAGGAGCCCATTCTGCTCATCATGTCTGCACTGACTCTGAGCATTTTGACGTGGTGCCAAACTCCTGCCTTTTCCCTGTAGCCCTGCACACTCTTTCTTTCCATTGTAACAATCATCCAATGCCATCTTGAATGCCTCAATTGTAACTGCATCTATCATACTTGCAGGCAGTGCATTCCAAACCTGGACAGCATGTTTTTCTCTCACGTCGTATTAACTTCTTTTGTAAAAGCTTTTAAAACTGCCCTTCTAAAGAGTAGCTGTACCCTAACACCACTTACAGGAAAAGCAGCACTCCTATTCTTCCATTTAACTGTCCGAACATTCCCAATGATTGGATTAAGTGTTATCATAATTTCTTTGGTGATAATTCCATTAGAAAGACAATTAGACAAGAGTTGACAGCTGGGGAAGTAGCTGGGTGTACTTGAGGTCCTGGGGTGGGGGGGTGGGGGGGAATGTTGGAGGTGAAGTGGGCAATGTTGGAGCACGAATATTGGCCAATGCTCCTGAAAGGTTTATCTACTCTGCTCCTCAAACACTGATCAGCACGACAGAGAAAGTGGATAAAGGAATGTCAATGTTTCTAGCAGAGGTGGGCCGTACATCTTGCAGCTGCATAAAAGTTCATCAAATTGTTTGGTGTGAAAGTAAGACAGATCAGGATGTGGATAGCAAGATCAAATCTCCTTTCCTGCAAAGACCTGGTTTCAAATCCGGCACAAGCTAATGAATTGAAAGCTTCCTGTCTATTGACGGTTAAAGGTACAACAGGAAGTTGAGGATGGACCATTTTTGATTTGGCTCCCAGTAGGCTTGGCCAGAAAATTACCACCACGGGAAGGCGATGGCTTGGGTTTTAATATTATAAATTAATTATTAATACTGTGCATGGCAGCATTTTGGTTATGTTCCTGGACTAGAATCCAGAGACCAGGACAAATGATTCAGAGACTTAAGTACAAATCCCACCACAGTGGTTTGAAGTTCACTTAAATAAGTAGATCTAGAATGACAGTCTGGTATTGGAATGATGACCATGTAAGTAAGATGTGGAGGTGCCAGTGTTGGAACGGGGTGGACAAAGTCAGAAGTCACAAGATGCCAGGTTATAGTCCAACAGGTTTATTTGAAATTACAAGCATTCACACTTCACCTGACAAAGGCCATTAATCGTATTATCGCTGGACTGTTAATCAGACCTAGGTAACGTTCCAGTGACCCGGGTTCAAATCCTGCCACGGCAGA